AATCGCACCTTGCTCCTCCTGCCCCTCCATTTATTACTGGAGATAATAACACCCCTTCTCTGAAGGAGTTGGGAGGAGGAATCAGTTGGCTATTTTAAGGTAACCAGGTCCCATTATGCCATATCTGGAGGTAGTTTTCATGCTTTTTAAAAAAAAAAAAAAAAGAAAAAAAAAAAGTGGAGGTTTGGTGGTTTTTTTTCCTCAAAATGGAGAATTAAGCCCTAAAAAAACAAAAAATAAAGAAAAAAGAGCTGCTTCTCTCTCCAGATCTGCCCCCCCCCAGCCCCAGGAATGTGTCCTCCCTCCACAGCCAGGGGGACGTGGCGGTGGGAGAGGGGGACGTGGCTGGGGGGTGGTTCTCCTGGTGGCATTTACAGAATCACAGAATCTTCTAGGTTGGAAGGGACCTTAAAGATCATCTTGTCCAACCATCCAATTTGCCTGCCCTTGGGCTCCTTCTCCCTTGGAGGTGGAGCTGGGCGTCGGGAACGTTGGGAAATGTCCTGGAAAGGACTTGGGGGGGACAACCTGTCTAGGTCCAGGGCTGGAGAATATCTGGGGGAAGAGGGTTAGAGCAGGAGGGCGGTGGAGATGTGGGGTGGTCCTCAGTCATGCTCCCTCCCATGGTGCCTCATCCCGGGATGACTTTCCCACCACGCCAGGCACCCACGTGTCTGTGGTGGTTTTCCATGTTCCTTGAGGGTTCCCCCTCACCTTCACCCCTCTTACCTTCATCTCCAAGTCTTGGGGTGAGGGACAGACGTGCCCCCCCATAGAACAGCACCCCTGGGCATGGGTCCCTTCACAGGGAGACACCCGAGGTGCTGGTGGCAACCAGGAGGTGAGGTGCTGGGGCAGGGACCTCTCGCCCCATCCCCTGGGCTCCCCGAGGTGGGACTTTGGTTGTCTGCAGGGCTCTAGAAGACCCTTCCACCCCTGAGCACCACGAGGGTTGGAGCAGGAGGGTGCTTTCCCTTCTGCTGAGGAACACCAAGGTCCAACACACGTAACCATCAGGGCCGAGCAGAGAGGATCCTCTCAGCCCCACAGAGTGCCCAGGGGTTGTCACCCAGCCCTCCTGGTGCTCCAGGGGGACACATTTCTGCTAATTCAGCAGAAGTTGAGGAGCAGCCTCATGTTTCACGTGTGTCCTCAGGCAGGTGGCACGGATGGGCTGGGGGATGAGCAGCAGCAGAGGTGAGAGACTGGGGAGCTGCTGCCCCCTTCCCCAGCTGGCAACTGGGGGCTGTGGGGAGGGGAGGGGCTTCTGGCCTGTGTGGGACACCAAGATGGATGAGTTCATGGAAGGGGAGGGGAGCTAGTGCCATGTGGGTGCCCCTCGGGTCGGCGGGCAGAGTCTTAGGACCTCCCTAGGACCCCATCAAGGTGGGTTGGGCGGAACCTGCTCTTGGGGGCTGGAAGGGAAATGCTTTTTGACCTGCCTCCCCCTCCTCTTCCTCCTCTTCCAGATCTCCGCCTGCAGCTGCTGGACGTGAAGAACAACCCCTACCTGATCAAGGCTCTCTATGGCCTCCTGATGCTGCTGCCCCAGAGCAGCGCCTTCCAGCTCCTCTCCCACCGCCTCCAGTGCGTCCCCAACCCCGAGCTCATGCAGACTGCGTAAGTGCCACAGGGATGGAGCTCTGCAGGACCCCCCCCCAGACCCCCCACCATCAGCATCGGGGCCGGACACCCCATCCCCACCTCCACCATCCCAGGATCAGCCCCACGCTCCTCTGTCTTTCTCCCTCCCCAGCTCCTTTGTGGCCACGGCTGGTCCTTGCCCCCCAGCCTGGGCCTTCCCCCCCCGGGTGTGGGGGGGGGGGGGGGGGGGGGGGGTTGGGGGGTGTTTTTTGTGTCTATATTTGGTAACCCTGGGAGGGCTGTGCCTCATCCACAGGCATTTGGCATCCGGGATGGAAAATTTCACTTGTGAGGTCGCTATGGAAACCAGCAGAGCCGGGAAGGAGGTTTATGGAGAGATAGAGAGAGAGAGAGAGACGCCGCCGGCAGCCAGGGGGTGATCCCAAAGCGTGTGTGTGTGTGTGTGTCCCCAACCCAGAGCCCAGACAGCCTTCAGGGCACCTAAAATCCCACCCCACCACCACCCCCTCACCCCAAACACGCTTAGGGGTTTGCTTCTCCATCCCCACCTCCGGCTTCTGGGGAGCCCTGAGGAGGGATGTGCAAGGGTGGCATCTCCTTGGGGGACCATCCCAAGTCCTTCTGCTCCCTGCCCAGGGGTGGGATTTGCTCTCCAACCCCGAGCTAATGAGTAATAGGGGGGGACACACACACCAGGTTTGATGATAAAACTGGGTGAAGACCCAGTTTGCAAAGCCCTGGGAACAAAAAGAAGGGCTTTTTGCCCAAGATGGGCAGGTTTCTGAATTAACCCCCCCACCACCACCACCATCACCACCACCACCGCTCCTTGGGCTTCTAACAGCTCCCTTTGGGCTGGCTTTTATCCTGATTTTAATTAGGGAGGGGGGACACACACACATGAAGGACAGGCTGCACGTGCTTCTTTCACTCCATTATTTTTTTTTCCCTCCTCCCCACCCCTTGGCCCTGGCAGCTGGGGAGGGAGGGAGGGGGGTTTTGGGGGGAACAAAAAGAAGGGCTTTTTGCCCAAGATGGGCAGGTTTCTGAATTAACCCCCCCACCACCACCACCATCACCACCACCACCGCTCCTTGGGCTTCTAACAGCTCCCTTTGGGCTGGCTTTTATCCTGATTTTAATTAGGGAGGGGGGACACACACACATGAAGGACAGGCTGCACGTGCTTCTTTCACTCCATTATTTTTTTTTCCCTCCTCCCCACCCCTTGGCCCTGGCAGCTGGGGAGGGAGGGAGGGGGGTTTTGGGGGTTGTTGGGGTTTTTTTTTTTCGAGCAAGCGGAGCTGTCAGACGGCCTGAGCATCTGATTAACTCTGACCTACATTCCTTCAAACGCCCGAGCTGGCTTTCATAACAGTCCAGCCCCAGCTGCCCCCCTCCCCGGGGGGATGCCGGGGCCTCCAGAGCCTCCCCCGTGTCCCCCTGACGGGTGTCCCATGGCTGGTGTGTCATCCCCCCCCTCCTCTCCCCTCCATCAGGTGGGGATGGCTCTAAGGGATGGAGCATCCACGGCTGGAGCCCCTGGGGAGGCTCCCTTGCTTCAGCCCCCCCCCTGCGGAGCTGTCAGACGGCCTGAGCATCTGATTAACTCTGACCTACATTCCTTCAAACGCCCGAGCTGGCTTTCATAACAGTCCAGCCCCAGCTGCCCCCCTCCCCGGGGGGATGCCGGGGCCTCCAGAGCCTCCCCCGTGTCCCCCTGACGGGTGTCCCATGGCTGGTGTGTCATCCCCCCCCTCCATCAGGTGGAGATGGCTCTAAGGGATTGAGCATCCATGGCTGGAGCCCCCGAGGAGGCTCCCTTGCTTCAGCTCCCCCCCCATTCGTGGGCTCCCCGGGGACTCCAGCCGTGGGTGTTCATCCCCCCGAGGTTGTCCCCGCTGCCACCAACCCTCCTCCGTGCCACAGCACATGGCTGCTTTTTACTTGATCTTCAAACCAGGCAGGGAAACTGAGGCACGTCTTGCTGCTTTGGGCTGGAATGAGTTGGGAAAGGGGGGAGCACCGGTGTTGGAGGGGTTAAAGCTCCCCTGGGGGGGTCAGGGTGCTGAAGCAGGTGGCCCTTGTCCCCTCTCTCTTGTCCCACAGATCTGTCTCCTGCCTTTGGGGGAGAGAAACGGGTCTTTGGGGGTGGTTTCATGGAGCACCAGCATCACTAGGATGTCCCGGGACCTCTTGGGCTCCATCTCATGCCTTTGGGGATCTTTCATGGAGCCCCAGCATCACTGGGATGTCCTGGGACCTCTTGGGCTCCATCTCATGCCTTTGGGGATCTTTCATGGAGCCCCAGCATCACTGGGATGTCCTGGGACCTCTTGGGCTCCATCTCATGCCTTTGGGGATCTTTCATGGAGCCCCAGCATCACTGGGATGTCCTGGGACCTCTTGGGCTCCATCTCATGCCTTTGGGGATCTTTCATGGAGCCCCAGCATCACTGGGATGTCCTGGGACCTCTTGGGCTCCATCTCATGCCTTTGGGGATCTTTCATGGAGCCCCAGCATCACTGGGATGTCCTGGGACCTCTTGGGCTCCATCTCATGCCTTTGGGGATCTTTCATGGAGCCCCAGCATCACTGGGATGTCCTGGGACCTCTTGGGCTCCATCTCATGCCTTTGGGGATCTTTCATGGAGCCCCAGCATCACTGGGATGTCCTGGGACCTCTTGGGCTCCATCTCATGCCTTTGGGGATCTTTCATGGAGCCCCAGCATCACTGGGATGTCCTGGGACCTCTTGGGCTCCATCTCATGCCTTTGGGGATCTTTCATGGAGCCCCAGCATCACTGGGATGTCCTGGGACCTCTTGGGCTCCATCTCATGTATTTGGGGGAGAGAAACAGGTCTTTAGGGGTGTTCTATGGGGCACCAGCATCACTAGGATGTCCCGGGACTTCTTGGGCTCCATCTCATGCCTTTGGGGGTATTTCATGGGGCACCAGCATCACTAGGATGCCTGGGACCCCTTGGGCTCCATCTCATGCCTTCAGAGGCGGAGGTGTTTCATGGGGCACCAGCATCACTGGGATGTCCTGGGACTTCTTGGGCTCCATCTCATGGCTTTTGGAGAGAAAAATGGGTCTTTGGGGGTGTTTCATGGGGCACCAGCATCACTGGGATGTCCCGGGACCTCTTGGGCTCCATGTCATGCCTTTTGGGGGTGGTTTCATGGAGCACCAGCATCACTAGGATATCCCGGGACTTCTTGGGCTCCATGTCATGCCTCCTGGGGAGAGAGACAGGTCTTTGGAGGTGTTTCATGGTGCACCAGCATCACTGGGATGTCCTGGGACCTCTTGGGCTCCATCTCATGCCTTTGGGGATGTTTCATGGGGCACCAGCATCACTAGGATGTCCTGGGACCCCTTGGGCTCCATCTCATGCCTTTGTGGGAGAGAAACAGGTCTTTAGGGTTGTTCTATGGGGCACCAGCATCACTAGGATGTCCTGGGACTTCTTGGGCTCCATCTCATGCCTTTGGGGGAGAGAAACAGGTCTTTGGGGGTGTTTCATGGAGCACCAGCATCACTGGGATGTCATGGGACTTCTTGGGCTCCATCTCATGCCTTCAGAGGTGCTTCATGGGGCACCAGCATCACTGGGATGTCCTGGGACTTCTTGGGCTCCATCTCATGGCTTTTGGAGAGAAAAATGGGTCTTTGGGGGTGTTTCATGGGGCACCAGCATCACTGGGATGTCCCGGGACCTCTTGGGCTCCATGTCATGCCTTTTGGGGGTGGTTTCATGGAGCACCAGCATCACTAGGATATCCCGGGACTTCTTGGGCTCCATGTCATGCCTCCTGGGGAGAGAGACAGGTCTTTGGAGGTGTTTCATGGTGCACCAGCATCACTGGGATGTCCTGGGACCTCTTGGGCTCCATCTCATGCCTTTGGGGATGTTTCATGGGGCACCAGCATCACTAGGATGTCCTGGGACCCCTTGGGCTCCATCTCATGCCTTTGTGGGAGAGAAACAGGTCTTTAGGGTTGTTCTATGGGGCACCAGCATCACTAGGATGTCCTGGGACTTCTTGGGCTCCATCTCATGCCTTTGGGGGAGAGAGACAGGTCTTTGGGGGTGTTTCATGGGGCACCAGCATCACTGGGATGTCCCGGGACTTCTTGGGCTCCATCTCATGCCTTTGGGGGTATTTCATGGGGCACCAGCATCACTAGGATGCCTGGGACCCCTTGGGCTCCATCTCATGCCTTTGGGGGAGAGAAACAGGTCTTTTTGGGTGTTTCATGGAGTGGGGGAGAGAAACAGGTCTTTGGGGGTGTTTCATGGAGCACCAGCATCACTGGGATGTCATGGGACTTCTTGGGCTCCATCTCATGCCTTCAGAGGTGCTTCATGGGGCACCAGCATCACTGGGATGTCCTGGGACTTCTTTCCTCCATCTCACGCCTTTAGGGGAGAGAAATGGTCCTTTGGGGTGGTGGGGCAGCAGGATGTGGTGGGCTCAGCTCTTCTGGTGCCGACTGCGATGGATGCCTGGGCTAAGAGCATCTCCTTGCCCTCACTTTCTGCTCTGTCCCCTCCCTGCAGGGACAACACCAAACCAAGCGCCGGCTTCAAGAGGGCCCCGTCCTCCAACATCGACTACACGGAGCTGCTGCAGCACTTTGAGAAGGTCCAAAACAAGCACCTGGAAGCCCGGCACCAGCGAGCGGGGCGGGCAGAGCAGCTGGACCGGCGGGTGGTCCTCTGAGCATCTCCCGGCAGCCGCCGCGGGCCCGCGCAGTCGCTGGGGCAGGGACCAGGGGATGCAGAGCAGGGGACCAGGGTGGGGGGACACCCGGTTGGTTGGTGGCCACCAGAAGATGCGGTGAAGGGAGACGGGTGAGCGCTTTGGCGCGGGGCTGGTTTTTCCTCCACGCCGTGGCTGGGGGTGGTGGGGAAGAAACCCACCCCACCTCCCAAAAAGCTGTTGTGATGGGGGAAAGAAAGGGCTGCGGGAGGAGAGGGGCCAGGGGAAAAGTGGCTTCATCTCCTCTTGCCAAAGGGCAAGGAAACTCCCCTTTTTTGCTTGGCTAATGCCTTCCCCGTGACTGTCAGCTGAGCGCCCAGCCTCCTGCCAGAGGGGAAGGGAAGATGGGAGCAACCCCCTGGCCTCCAGCTCCTGGAAAACACGGAGCTTTTG